TGATGATGATGATGATGATGATGATGATGATGATGATGATGATGATGATGATGATGATGACAAAGTACTCTCTGCCGATAGCAGTAACAAGCAAGTACTTTGGCTCTCACCTCCGTAACGATCTTCGCTATGTAGTAGATGTCAACCCTGTACAGACCCGTTCCTAATTCTCTCATGACGATACCCATTTCTTCAGGAAACGACTGCGAACATCAGAAGGCACTTATTTACACCACTTTTTCAAGCGTATTGCAAACCACTGGCAGTGGTGTAGAATTAGAAGCTGGCAAGAGACGGGAATCCGATTAACAAAATGGAAAACGATGCCTTGTAGAATACTGCTGTCTTTCCGCAGCGATCCCATTTATTTCGATTTTATTTGCCTTTCGGTCGGAAAAGCCTACTTCCTTAAGGGGGGGGGGGCTACACCTGGAGGCTATCTCGCTTATTACTGCCCCGAATTTTACCACATTTCACACATATAACAAGCATAGTAAGGAGTCTTGAAATCCGCAATCAAATTTGAGAAAAAAGTTTTGTTTCCATGGATACGCCGCCATATTGGATTTTATTTACATGTCTTACGTAATGAATACCACACTTATCGCTTATGGAAATTGATTGTTTTTTTGCACGCGTGTTCACAAACATTAGATCTAAAAATTTGACTGTTGTTTTTTTCCTAATCGAATTAGAAAATTTTTAATGAATTTTTTCGTGAGGTAGCATTCAAGTTTGAGAAAAATCCGTGAAAATCCACACTCCAGACACCACCAACAAAAATCTATTCGATATATCAAAAATTCAACAGACAAAATTTTAGTATTACCTCTTCTCTTCATTCTGTGAAAGTTTCATGAAGATTGAATGAAAAATGGTGGAGTTATTCAAAAAAGTATAGAGAAAAGTAGCATTTTGAGAAAACGGCCGATAAAGAAAAATAAAATACTGACTTTATGAGAAAATGGCGGTTACAAACATGCCCGGTATGGGGAAAAATACGATTTTTGGGGGTTCTTAGGCCATAAAATAGTTGTAGGAAAGGCTGAGGAAGCTAAAAATGCCTATAACTCAAATTCCATGATTTTGAGCAGAATTTTGATTTTGGGGGTGTAGCCCTCCCCCCCCCCCCCTTAAGAATCTAAATTGTGATAATGGTGACAGGACACATTTGCAAGGAATCAATCACTGATGTAAAAAAAATAAATAAATAAAAAAGCCAAGCTGTCATTAATTCAATCTATTAACCAATCAAACAAAATACATTGCATATATCTATGCCAACGTTTACAAGTTAACCTGGATTTTTTTAACAAGCTGCACAGGACACACCGGACAGTTCTCACCATTTAAATACTGAAGATTAGAGGCGCTATTCCTTTTTTATGACAAAGAAAAGATTTAGGACAGATTAGGGCGCTAGGTGTTGGACAGGAAAGAAGGAGCAACCCACACCAGAACACCCATCAACCACCCACTCCAGCTTACGTTCAGATAAAGCAATAGCTTCCCCATTTCACAAGGCAGAATAGGAACAACTAAAGCACGCAGCAGAGGTAGAATGACATGTCTGGGCACCCCCTAATTCCCTGCACATTCACATGCGCCTTATGTCTAGTTTATATAGATGTAAACAATACATGACTTACTGTCAGCACGGCAAACACGTTGGTGAAAGTAACGTTCAAGATCAGGAGATATATTGCGCCATTGATGTTCTGAACTCCTTTTTGATCCACATCCAACTGCAGGTATACCAGCCCCAAGACAAGACCGATTGCCTGCGAAAACCACCAGCATTAAGATCGGTTCAAATGTTTGAATGTATTTGAAAAAAAAAAAACACTCTGAAGAGATGATTTATTTTTTTGTTTGCTTTGGTGCTTTCTTTAGGGGAGTTTGGGGGGAGACACTTTTTTCATGTTGTGTCCAAGTCATGGCAACTCTATCAATTAGAACAATGTGTGCCATCTAAAAGTTTATAGCAATCAGTTAAAATAAAACTTTACCATATTTTGAAAGAGCTTTAGCACCTATGAGTCTCCGAAGAATCGTTATATCATTGATGTAAAGACGATTGGACTACTTTGCATGTTTAGGGACTTAGAAAGGCCTGGTTAGTAAATCTACCCTTTACTTCGACAAGCAAAACTCACATACTTCTATGAGGTCTCATGCATTTCTGGGTGGAAATAAGCTGTACGAAAGAGTCGTATTGGGCAAGTGTATATCAAAGTAGATTTATTTTGTAACCAATATACAAAATCTTACACTTTAAACTGGTAAGGACATACTTCATTCATAGGTGCCTTCGAGTTCATAGGCTTTCTTGGCCAGGCTTTCAATTAAAACGCCCAGATTACTATTCGACCAATGTTTTATGATGTTTACAAGAACTGATACTCAGAGTTGAACCAAATTATGATAAAATACATGCTCACAAAAGCCGGACTATCAATGTTTATATCCCCTAATTCCATATATTATTATATAATATATATATATCGAAGCTAACGTTTTCAAGTTTACCTATTTTTTAACAAGCTGCACTGGACAGTTCTCATCATTTAAATACTGAAGATTAGAGGCGTTATTTCTTTTTTTTTAAACTAAGAATATACCATACTAAAGAACTCTTCCAAAAGTCTAGAATTTTGTGAACTGTACTGGGGTAAGAATCGTTACATCACCCTTCAAAAAGGTTCTATTTTCAGTACTGTGATGGCGTGTCTGATTGTTACTTAACAATATGTTCTTTTAAACTCGTGTATCACTTGTGATTAAGGGGTACATTGAGGTTTGTCAATCTTTTGATAACCACGCCCACTTTTGCAACACTCATGAGGCTAGACTTTTCGTACCGCCAAGTGGGGAATAAAGAAAACACCATTCACTACCCGGCTGATTATTACCACCCACCATATTACCAAATTGCCCTCTTGTGGATGACATCGCCCAATTTATTTTTCAGGGGGGAGGGGGGACAATATAAAATGTTACCTCAATAACTATAAGCACTATGCTTATGTGATGTTAATCAAATTATGAAGCAATATGGTTATAAAGACATCCTGCAACATTTTGAGTCCCTATAGTCGAAAAATGTGGAAAATTTAGAGTGAAGTGGATCGCCCACGCCAGTCGGCAAGGCGCCGGATGATGATGATCTTACGAAATGAAACAAGTAACGTAATCCGTTAGAAACTGAAAAAGCAGCCTTTACACAATGTTCCTCTCGACTTGAAAGTTTTACATACTTACCAAAGACTGTCCTATCCGCACCCAGAAGAGCATGGCGTCTCGAAACTGTGCTATCCAGGAACGCCAGAATAAGTTCTTGACTTGAACCCAGAGCGAAGAGGCGTACCTGAGGGAAGGGGGGGGGGGGGG